AAAATATATTGCAATGCACTGATGAATCGATATTTTTACCCACCCATAAAACACAGAGTCCGCCTCCTCTTGTCCTGCGCTCTGTCGACTTGGAACACGGTCCGTGCATTCGAGTGCTTCACCCAGGATGTCGATGGAGCAGGTCTCTGTAAAGATGTGGGCACAACAGTCTCTGATTTCCTGTTTTCGTCCAAACTGGTCATTAGCTAGGAGCACCCTTAAGTCCAAGCTAGGCCAGCATAACTTAATCCTGTCCCTGCTCTCTTTCCTCTCCTCTTGTTTGGGGGCTGGTCCCCTCCGGTCGATCTGGCTGGGTGGATTGTCTCTTTTCTGTCTGTAATACATGTTTCAGTAATAAAGCCAAAAACAGATTAAAACAAAAGCAGAGAGGTTCGAAGGAGCTAGCGTACCTAGCAGCGTCTGTGAGCGCAGCCGTTGCTATAATCAAATCTCCTGATTCAGTGGATTTGAACAATTTTGGCTTAGCTCTTAATACACTCACCAATTGTGCCCCCCAAAAAACTGCAAACCTCTCGGACAAGTACTGATGACTAGTTGTTAAAACTGATAATGAAGATATTCTGCATTTTTGCCATTTTGATGAATAGTTTATACTACTTCTATGGAAGACATAAATCTAGAAATACATTAAACAAACCATATTTTTGTGACTTATTAGGCTGATTTTAGTCTTATTATTCTCTTTATCTTTTAACAGGCTATATATTTTAAGCGTAATGCCTGCGGTGATACTTCCAGCCATAGTGATGTCTCCATCTGAGTAATAGGTCTCTAAAGTGTGCTTGTTTGGCTTTTTTGGGGCCATTGGAGAGCAATAAAGTGTCTGTCTGAGGATTTTCGGGGTCCTCGTAGACTTTCCCCAGGTGTGCCTCACTGGTCATAAAGTACAACTTGTCTCTCATGGTGTACGCATGGATAAATGTGTCCGCTGAGTGTTTTTTAACCAAATACTAGTTATTATGCAGTGGGATTTTTAACACAACAAAAACAACATTTAGAAATGACTTTTGAAAACATTTTAAGTGCTTTTTAAGAGACTTCCCGAGCTGAAATGTGCTTGCTATATTTTATTTAACATAAAAATTGGTATTTTACTTAGTTCAAGCATGTTCTCTTTGTGTTTTGTTTGGAACCAAGATGGCTACAACAATAAGGTCACTCTGTTAAATTAAGTTTGTGACGTCCACTGAGGTTAACCATTTCCTTTGTTCCTCGCTTTTTGTGGAGGAAAGCTCCAATGTATTTTCATGTTGAGGTATGCTGTGTTTACTTTTATCACTGGTCCTCGGTGAGGCTGGCCAACCTGATGTTTGTTTATAAGAAATTTGGGCTTCACTCGTAACTTTCATTCACCACTTGAAAGCACTTGACTTGCTACTAATTTACCTTTAGGGACTTCAAAATTATCTGTCTGCACTGTCAAAATCTTTTTTGTGGTAGCAACTTGTCATCATCAAAGTTTTTCTTTAGAGTTTAATGAAAGCCTGGTAGATGGATGGGTTAATGTTATATACTTTAAGACAGTTTAACCTCAAGGTAACATGTTTTCTGGGCCTCAAAATTATGTTGGTTCCTTTTTGTTTTTGCTTTGATTGCTTCAGCTGTCATTGTTGCTATGCAGGTTGCTTTTATGTTAGTATTACAGAGTTCACATGAAAACACAAGCAGTGGGAACAGAGGAGGAATGGAATAGTATTGAAAATGAGCTTGAATTTCCCTTGGTCATCAGTGCTGCTTTGCTTTACCAAGGATATGTCACTCTGTGCTGCTCGGTTATTTTCAACAGGAAACTATGCACATTGAATAACTCAGGAATATCCAGTACCTAGCACTTACAGAGCCCTTTGACAAATTGCCATCCAGCAAACTTAATGTCCCACTTGTGTCAGGGGCAAGGCTGGAGGGTGGGAGGTTTGTGTAGTTAAGAGTTTTTTGTATTTTCTCCTTAGTCAATAGGTGAACACTTCACCTAGTAATGCCTGTATAAATATATAAAAACTGTTATTTTATCCAAAGTTATCCCAAGTTCAGATTTCCCTTCTTGGGGGAGGTTTGGGGTGTAATGTTCTGCTGAGACTTATGTCAAAAAAGGAACTTGATCTCCCCAATGTGTGACATTGTATAAACACTGTAGTAGTTCTACCAAAACAAATTTGCAGCATATGCATAGGAAAATATTGCAACTATGTCACCAGGGTGTTAGCATTTCGTTTCATCTGTATCATTTGATCCCGTGTCATACCGTTCCCGCACCTTTCACACTGTTTATGTATTCTTTGTCAAGATAAGTAAACTCATTCTACCGAGATGTTCTCTTTTGTGGAACAACAGAGGAAAAACTTACCACAGTACAGGATTTAAACTTTTCAAGTACTAGGATTCCAGTTAGATGTACATTAACCCTCCGTTCCTTATCGCGAAAACGGAATCAGCCATTTGGAAGTGAGTCTATTTTCATGTGTGTGAGAAGCTGAGTGGATAACCTGTTGGCAGTGGAGGACAGTGCAGATCTCTCTTCACTCTAAATTGCAGGCAGGCATCCCTGCAACCCCACATGAAGACCATTGAGTCCCATCAAGATAATCCTTAATAAAGAACGGCTTCACATTTAATCTTAGCTCACTTCTCAAATTTCTTACTTGATATAGTTTTTGGCAAGTGGCGTTTTAGCGCTGATGTCAGTTGAACAGTATCAGTGAATCTTTTGTTAAGCTTCCATTTGGCAGATGTAGAAGGTTCTATTAGGCTAAGTTTGTATAGTTGCAAAAAAGACCATTATTATATCGTTCAGATGTATGCATCTAATGAGGTTTTCTTATGTTAAACTGTAATATTTTATATATGTGAATATTTTTCTTCAGAAGGGAAATAAAAAGTTTAATGAAGTGCAAATGCGTCAGTCTCAAACTCAATTCTTAAATTCAGTTTAACCTAGCTTTTACATTAGATTGTTTGCATTTAACAGCCTTTCATTCAATACTTTGGAACGTGAAAAAAGCAATCAGTAAATATCACCAGTAAAACTGCTAGATTGATTGGAGCCTTGATTCAAAACATACCATATAGCGCTGTATGCAATGAGAGTACAAGGAAAATCTGAGTTTAGTCGCTGAGACGTAAACAACTCTGGATAATTATACTGTGCAATTTGAAAATAACTCACTTGCAAAATTACATCTCAAGCTAATTTTATACAGCTGCTTATTGAAATAGAGATAGTAAAGTAGAGTAAATGCAGTAACTCAATTGGCATGTGTACCCCTTCGCTATTAGAAATAGTTACTTGAGAGTCCCCAAGCATCTGTTAGTCAATTGAGTTATCAAGAACCTGTTCAATGTGCAATATATTTCATGCTCCGATATTGAAATGTGAGCCTATAGATTTACCTGTGGGCAGTTGGTTTGTAGCAGGATGTAGCGCTTGCATTCCCAGCACGTCCACCTCATTACTGCAGTGTATTTAAATCAGCAGCAGTGCAGCTCGGATCTATTCCTGTCAGCTACTCGTTGACTACTGCTACAGAGGATGGTTGGTATTGAACTGCTTTAGGTGTAAGTTGTGAACTCTAGCTGATCAAGTAGAAATTAATTCATCAGTTCTTTGACATGACATGCAATATGATTAACAAAAGATTTGTATATGCTTTTTCAGTGACTCACAACACCTGTTTAATTTTTTATTGTCAGCCACTGACTAGTAGGTAACAGAGACGCACAAGCAGTGCATACAGAGGAACACCGCTAACACAGTATACTATTCTTCTAGCCGTGGGTGTTCTTCTTCTCTCAACACCTCTTTACCATAGTAAATGTATGATTTCCTCTTTCTTGGTAATCATTTTTCAGTATTACAGTTGGTATTTCACCCACAGTTTTATTATGTGGAAATTAAACAAATTTTAAATGGCCCATTGACCTTTCAACCATTCATTACACAGAACTGATATTCTTGGAAAGAAAATATGGTACGACATATAAAAGAAAAAGCTGTACAAGCCTCATCACCAGCTTGAATAAATCACCACTTTGAGCTCATCAGTAGCAACGTGGCCTTGTGTAGTAGCTTCGCACAGTTGAAATAATAACCTGGAGCAGACAGAAGGCAGTCATTACCTTGCACACAGACGCGGCGTGGATGTGTTGACGGAGGACTTCCACTAGACTGCTGTGGAGACGGACAGAGCAGAGCCGCTCGGCCTGCTGTTAAACCTCCGGCTCCCCATCACCTAAGCTAATGACCTAAACCCTTGTTTACCCTCTGAAGATCCCTCTGTGACAAAGAGAAAGCCAGCAGCGACCTAAGACTTACAAGAGAGAGCAAAAAAAAAAAGTGGTTTGTGGTTAAAAACAGAGCATAACAAAAACAAGAGAGAAACGGGGGTAGAAAAAAAAGTGAGGGCCCTTGGGGTGTGTGAGCGGCGCCTGGTGTTCCAGTGGACAGGCAGGCCATTTCATTGTCTTAGTCTCCACTGATACAATCTGGAGAGGGCTGTATTGCTTAAAGCTGTGAGTGAATGACATATGGGGAGCTGGTGTGAGGCGCAACTCCCCTGTGCCTCCTCCAGACCCAAAGTCTTCCTGTGAGAGAGCACCAAGCAACTTTTCTGCTTTTTCAAACGGCAGCAGCCTCCCTCGCTCCCTCCCTCATTCACTGCCTTTCTCCCTCCCTCCCTCTCCCTCGCTCTCTCACTCTCTCTCTTTTTTTCCCTCTTCCTCAGACACTCACTAGTCACTGCCTGAAGCAGTAATCGGACAACTCTCTTTCTCACTAGGACTGGGTCTCCTGAGATACCGTGCGGGGCTCCATGGGTTCCAACACCTAAAATGAAAAAGAAAAAAGTAGTCTTGTAGTTTACATTTATTGTGCTACAGATTCTACAAACACCTGAAGAACAGTTTTAGAAAGTGTGTTGTCCGTTCTGCTGGACTGAACGATCTTTCTGTAGAAGATTTTTTTTTAAAGAAGGGATAAACACACAGGGATTCAACCATAATTGTAGTGAGTATGATTTTAATTTCTACTTGATGTTTGAGATATTGACTGTCTTCTCTTGCCGTGTCGGATTTTTTTTACTATTTCAGAGTGTGTGTGTGTGTGTGGAATTATCTGCTTTATTTGATCAAACTTGCATCAACATTCAATTTAGCATATAATTCCCAATTAAAGCATTGCTGTGGGAGTAAAAATTAGATTTATGCACAAACCTTGTCATTAATTGTTGTGGTTTAAAATAGTACTATCTACGTCTTTATTATTGTAAGAATAGCATTATTGTAGAGCTATTCAAAAATATATAATAATGTTAATAATATAAACCAAAGAGGACGACTTTAATATTCACAGGTCAGCTGTAATTCATTGATGATGGTAGATTAATTGCCAAGAAAAAAATTGCTCTGGTTGAATGTTCAGTTTTAATTTAAGGGAAAGTAAATGCAGCTCATATACTGATAAAGAAGTCCGTTTAAAAATGTAACATGATATTTAAATAACAATTTATAGTATATTACAGTACATTTGATAATAGCTAAAAATCTTACTCTGATGTTCTGTTTTTATAACACATACGGTATGTCCAGAATTTTTTTGAAATTTAACAGTTCAATTTGTCTGTAATTATGAATGAAATTTAAAGAAAGATGTCCCCTAAAATCTCCATTTCAAAAATGATGACCTATAGTTTTTCTCCACTCTTAGTTCAAAATAATTTTTTAATTGCAAAAAAAGTCTGCTGTAGGAGCATGATAACTCATATCCAAGCTGCAAATACATCCCAAATTTGCCCTTTGAAATATGGGATCCTCTTCTGCTTGGTCCAGTTGACATTTTTGATCGGACAAGGAAAACACGCTGGTCCCTGCAGGAGTCCCTTTTTGACTGGCAGAACAAACAAAACCAACACAGTTAAAGCAGTTGACATCCAATGCCATCTGCTGAGGCCAGGAATGCACGGAGACCTGAGAGCCTCTCAGCGTCTGACCAAGACAACAGGCCTCGACTCCCGGCCGTGCTGCGTCTCCGCTCGCCAGTATTTCGCGTGTAGTAAAGATGACTCACCCGCTGTAATCACTAGTCTCTCTAATTGAAGGATGTTCCAGTTTAATGTTCTGTGTATGATCACAGGCTTACATCACAAGTCAGGGAATTATTATGTGTGTGTGTTTGTGTGTGAAGGACATTTCATCTCTATCAAATTGTGCTTTTTTTCCTCTTTCCTTTTTCATCCTCTAATTCCTATAATTTCCAAACGCCTGCCCTTTTTCTGTGTTTAGAAAGGTGTGTGTTAGCAGATGAAAGAGAGGAAACAGAGAGGTTAGGATAGGCTAGTGAGCCAGACTGCTTGCAGAGTGGCCTCCGCTCTGTGTAGACAAACATGACAGTGTGTGTGACCGCCTGCTGCGACCATTCACTCACACAATAACCTTATTTATCCAATTAACAGATAATGAGCAGGCTGATTTGGGGCTGTTTACACTGTGTATTTGCTTTGCGCAGGGAGAGATCGAGGGCCCTCTGCCTGGCTGCGGAGCTTCATGCATGTGCAGCGGCAGTGTGCACAAGCAGGAGTGGTCGGCGTTGGCAGTGGCATTGTTTGCCCAAGGCCTGATGCCTTCCGTCTAGCCGGCCGAACCCTTGTCCTCTTCTCTCAAAGAGGAGATTGAAATTGGTGAAAGACACAGAGGGATAATTGATCCAGCCTCACTGATGCAGCTATTTGTGAGGAAGAGGGAGAGGGGGAAGAGGGCGCGAGAGAAAGAAATAGGAAATAGGGGACCTCCTATTAAGTAGCCCATACTGGGTGATTAGTGGGCAGGGGTTGTTTACTAAATACCGTGGGGTGTTATTTTGTTAACACGCCACTGTTTGGATCAGGGATATGTGCCTGAAAGAACAGGAAATGAACTTTAAAGATTTCTGTTGATTGCCATTACAGGTCTTCAATCACTAACACCCACTTTTGTGTTTGTTTGTAAATGGCAATATGTTTACGTTGCGCACGATAAAAAAGGAAGCGGCTGAGTGGAAAGTCTAAACAGAAATTGTATTCTGAGAGATTGCATTGTACTGCAAATGTGCCTCTGTGCAGATCATATAACACTATTTGCTTTTAAAAATTTAAAACTGCTACTTCATGACCTTCTGCAACTTTGTGTGATATGAGCTAAAGAATTTTAGAAAATCCTCAGCTTCCTATCCTGGGTGGATAATAATTTCATTAACATAATAGATCACTGTCTCACGTTTGAGAGAATTAGAATAACAAGCCACGGGCATTAAAGTGATATAATCGTTAAGATTTGTCACTGGACTTTCTTTCATCTTTGGGTGTAAAGCCTTTCTCGTTCTGCGGTGGTCACGGTGGTAGGCAGGTTGTGATAAAATGTGCACCTTAAATCTTGTTTGATGGCCCCTCAAAGGCGAACTGGCCTTCTGGAAATAATTTTGAAGGTTGAAGAGCACTGTATTAACAGATTTAATGTAGCTATTGAGAGAATTGCATTGGAGCACACCATGTCAGATTGAACCAAATGAGAGGGACAAATTGCACATCAACAAACAGCATGTGTTAATAATTGTGCTTTTAATTACAGATAAGTAAAAAAATGTAATTGTATGTGAAGCATTGTGTGCTTTTAGAATTTGTTGCCGTAGGTCTCATATGTGTGCTGAGTGCAGGCCAGTATTGTGCATCTTTATAAATAAATGTTAATGGAATATAAAAAGTAAAAAGTTTTATTTCATGTTGTTTTAATTGAAAAAGTTTTGGTTTAAACATATATTTTAATACGTTTTTTAGTGCTGTAAAAATTAATTTAAACAAACAGAAAGGAGGTTTAGAAAAGTGCCATCATTGTTCAGAATTACACCACCAAGCACTTTCAAATGTCCATCTATTTTATTAAAAACGTGTGATGCCTGTCTTATCTAGAATACTTCACTTTTGAGGAGGCATTTGTTGGCAGCCGTCATTTTTTTCGGCCACGTATAGAGACACAAGTGAAGTGTAGCATTTTGTAAACTGTGCCTAATTCCACTCACATCTGTGTCCAATTGTTGTCTGCATCTACATTCTTTGAGAGTGGATTTATTTTTCCTGGGCCACCATGTGGATTCAGCTGACCAGCTTAAGTGGGGATTAGTTGTTTTAAAGTTAGATTTTGATTAAAGCATTGTTTTTCAAAAGTTGTAACTCACAACACATGGCTTACATGGACTGTACAATTCAAAGGACTATACCCTATAAAATTAATGTCTATTAAGGATGACAGGGAGTAGAGAACAAACAAAGCATTTTCTTTTATTTCCAACAGTAAAATGTAATATGTGTAAATACTTAAATCAGTTTGCAGGTGATACAACACCTTCCATATAAATTTGGTAACTATTGGCTTAATAGTAACAAAATATGTAACAAAGGCGAAGAAACGATTTGTGTCGGGTCAGACAGCCTGCATGCTGAGATGATCTATGCTAAAAGCTTGGCTGTGGCTATGTTTACCTTTGGAAACGCAGGTCTTGAAATAAGTAAAGCGAAACAAAAGGGCCAGCAAACAACCGTGAGTGAAGCGTGTTGTGGCACTTCTTTTTTTTTTCTCTTGATGACACTTCCAGCTCTTCATCTAGTCTGGCTTTGTTCTTGTTAGCTTCAAAGACCTGGCAGTTCAGGTTGAACTAAGAAGCACATCAAAGATGCTGAATGCAGCCCTTTTCTTTAAACAATAAATATTTAGCGGCGCAGAAGAAAGGTTTGCTTTTAAATCCCTGCCCCCTCCCTTCTCCCCTCTCCCATCTCCCCCACTCTGTTCACCTGGCCGGTTTCACCTGCTGGCAATGGCTGAGACACCAGCATGGTAATGGCTTCATTGGCCTGCTCTGCTGAACACAGAAACCAGCCACCACACAGACACACACACACACACACAGAGAGAAACACACACACACATCTCCCCACCACTTCCCCCAACTCTGTGATCGCTGTTAATGTGCTGTGGCAAAATGTGTTTCTCTTTCGTCTTTATGGCTTTTACCTCTGTCGACTTTCTTTTCCATTGATATTTTTGTATTTTTTTACACCCCTTCTGCATATTTTAGTATTGGGAAATGCCAGGAGGAGGCACTGCTGTTGTCCGTAGCTCCTAAAGTGAGAATGAAATATAATGGGTTTTTTTGCTAAGATGGCTGTACCATAAGCAGTGAGGGAGTAGGCAAATTGTAAAGCTGGAATGGTATTCATGCCTTGGTGTGAAGAGTAAAGCCTGTTGAAAAAGAAGAAGAAAAAAACTTAAGACCATGCAGCTCAGGTTACCCTGGCTCATGTAAACAGTCAGCCATTAAAAAATCATGCCAGGATTTTTGAAAAAAGACTTTGTATGTCTTTTTCCTTCTTCCTGACCAGTTGAATACCTTTGACCTTTTTTGGACCCTGTATTCCCATGGTGGGCTGGAGTCAGGTCTAATATAGTGTTATAGCCATGCAAGTATATGGCTCTGCTTGATGTTTGGAGAGAGACGAGCAGAGCGGGAGTGGACAGCAAAATGTAACTGTCAGCTAAAGGAGAGTAATAGAGGCATTCGTAGCGTCATAGGAAACATATGTGGCTCCATATGCTCTCCATGTTCTTGTTTCCAGTCTCGTTCATTGTCTGAGATGCACCACTGATCTGGGGGCCTCTAAAGTGCCCTGCATGTGTGAATGTGTGTGTGTGT